ACCGTGGCAGGGAGCCTCGCCCAGCTACTGTCGAAGTACTTGCTTGCCCGTTTGTTTTGCCCGGAGGCGTGCAGTGTGAGTTTGTTGGCCATAGTAGACTGTCACTGCAGGCCCACTTGGCTGCAAAACATAATGTCCGGAATCCTTTCAAGAATGCTGTGATTACCAACCAGTGTCCCTTTTGTCTTGCGGTCTTCAAAAACAAGCAGAGTGCTCGGCAACATGCAGAGCGTCGTGGTGCCACAGGGCTTTGCAAGCATGTGTGTCGGCATCCGCTTGCTGGTCACACAGATGTTGTTGTGCAGCCGACATCCTTGCTGTGCCCGTTTTGTGACTTCAGTGCCAAATTACCGCAACTACAAGCACATATAGCAGAGCACTTTGCAGGTGGAAGGTCATCTCACTTAGAGGTGCAACTGCGCCGCAAGAAATCCAGCTCGGAACCCTGCCCTTCCCTAAGTGCCCCTGATTTGTGTGAAGGTCCTGGTTCTGCTGGGGTGTGTAGGTCTGGTTTAGGCACCTCTTGTAACCCCTCTAAGTCCTGGTGTAATGATGCTTGGTGGCATCTGTCGCCAGCCGACGATGCCAAAGAAGTGCGGGAATCGTATGGGGTTTCGCCAAAGGAGATATGGTGGTGGCATTTGTCGCCTGAAGAAGAAGCCCGTGAAAGAGCAGAGTTGTACGGTAGCCATCCTTCGCTAGTTTCGCAACAGAGCTTTGCTAACATGAATCATGCGCAAGCCAAGATCACCTCCTTTTTCGTTCCCCGACAGCTCGAGGCCAGTTCCAGCAACCTCGCCGGTAGTACTCTTCTTGGCCATGGACCGGTGGTTGGCAAGCAACGGGGCAGAGCCGCGGCCGCAAAGACGCAGAACGGGGGCAGGCGGCGAAGCAGACCTCGAGCAAGTCAAGCAGCTTGCAGTTTCCGCAGCCGAACTCGCTCTCACAACAGCAGCCACAGTGAGGGTTCACGACGCAGCAGTCCTACGCACTTGGATGGTTCCTGCGACCAGCGTGTACGCCGTGGCGGGCATCAACGCCGGGAAAGATTATCATCAGCAAGTGAAGACATTGGGGCGCTCTCACGGCCTCGGGAGTCCTCACCTGCACGTTTGGGCCAGTTTGGTGGTGACAGCCAAAACCGACAAAGCTCTCACAGAGCCACACCGCACACAGATCTCGGAGCATGCGGACTCCGTGACGCACCCAAAGGACATCGAAACCTTGGTGGCGGTCTGCAACATGAAGCCTGCCTACAACAAGGAGTTCGTGCGGATGCAGCTCAAGGTTCGGAAGCGGAACCCCTCGCGGCCATCATCGAGTGTGCCTTGCAGAAGGCCGGCGGGGAGCAGAAGCATGGAATAGCACCTCGCGGTCCTAAAGAGCGCAAAGTGGTGGAGCTTTTGGAGCTCATGGGAGTGAAGCACACGCTGGTCACCAGTGAGAGCTGAAGCTGTGAAACTTTGGTTGGCATCTGCAGCTTAAGAGGGAAGCGTGCAAGTGCTAACGTGTGTGTCACTGGCGTAAACACCCAGTGCTTGGGGTGGCAGCCTCTGCTCACACCGCAAGGGTGTGAAGGAGGTGCGCCACTGTGGGGCCTGTACCGCTAAATGCGGAGCGCAGGATCGCACAGCAATGTCTGATGCCCCGGACCTCAGTGGATCCGTTCGCGGAACCGGAATGGGAATGAATGAATAAACCGTACAATCTACACCCAAGCTCGAAAGACGCCTTGCCTGGATCTTCGCAAAGCTCGCTTCCCACCGTAGACTTGTTAGGGGCCCTGCCAAACTCTACACACAAAAAGCCCAAACTAAACCTCAAACAGCACCCTAAAATTGCCCTAAGCCCCTGAGCTATGCATGTAATAAAGGTAGGCGATTCCAAAGCCCTGAATTGGGGAATTCCATTTTTAGTATGCAAAGATCCCTGACACAATGCAAGGGTATGTTTGACGTCTCTGGGAAGGATTCCTTGAAGCTTGCGCTTCCGTGGAGACCTGGCAGAATGCTTGGACCCAGGCCGCGTGCCTGGGGCTTCAGGAAGCCTAAACCCACACCTGAACCCTGACCCGTTGTAGAGATTCGGATGTATAGGGGCATATGGTTCATGCCAGTCAAGGGGATACTCTTACAATTGGGGGCAGGGTATGTGAAGCAATCTTTTGCTCTCTCGCTCTCTCTCTCTGTCTCTATATATATATATACACATACTAACATAACAAAAATATCAGTATTACATTCATAGTGTACATGTGCCGCTGGCTTGACTCGAAGGGTCCGAAGGACCCAGTAGTTAGCTGCAGGGGTTTCGTGCAAGATGGGCTTAGGGTTCGGGGTTTACAGGGTATTGGGATGTTACTGTACTGGCCTATGCTTATTAGGTACGTGGACCCTGAGGGTTTGCGGTAAGGTTTTATGAGACAGCCATCTTGTCCTTGCCGGCCATCGAGTCTAGGACATGTTCGAAACCCCGGAAAGCCTAGGTTTTGAGGGTCTTAGGGCTCTTTGTTATTCTCATGTCCATGTCCTTCTTGCCAAAACAAGGCAGGATGTTTGGAGTCTAAGGTGCAAGCTGCATCACATCAAAAATCGAAGGAACAGGAAACTTGGTTCTGGGCAAAGAAGCTTCAACAACCCCACAACAACTTAGCATTTGGAGATGTCGGCACTCATCCAGAAACTTTGCCTTCAGCAGGCAATGCTGCTGCTCGTGGACGCTTGCCCGTACTCTGGGCCAGCAACAACGATTCAGTTCACTGCTGGTATTTGGAGTAAGATAGAAGCCTGAAAATCACCCACGTCAATCCATAGGGTGGCTGAATATGACTGTGCCATAATAGAAGGCCGAAGAGGGTCCCTGTGCCAAGGTATTTCCAGAGATGGGCAATCAACATACCAAGGATTCTAAATATATTCCCAGCTGCCCAAGTACCTAGTTGTCATATACTCTCCAAAATAGAACCTTCATAACTATTATCTCAAAGCCGAGTACCTGATTATTGGGTGCTTTGGACCCTAAGAGTATTCTCTCGGCAGATCGTACCAGACCTGCATTGTCAAATTGCGTCTCGGGGGCGAAGACCGACTTCTCCGCAATGTCGCAGGTCCTACTATTGATTAGGGTTTAGGGTTTAGGGTTTTATTGATGGTATAGATCCTGCATTACCCACAATAAGGACTGTACCATGATTCCCATAGCTTAGGGTCATTACGGTAATGCAGGGTTTAAATCATCAACCGTACTACATTCTGCACCCAGAGCCGATGGATGATTAACTCCACCATATTTCGATTAGGGGTATGTGTATGTGTGTATGTGCGTGTACATGAATACACGCATGACCATGCATAACTGTATATATATATATATATATAATTATATACTTACACCCACATACAAAAAAAAAACATAACTGCAGGCATGCATGCATCCATGCGTGCATGCAAACATGCATACAAACACATGCAGGCATACGGTCGGACGGGCGGACCGGCAGACAGACAGACGGACAGGTGGAAGAGACGGGGACGCACAGACTAAGGTCCAAACCCTGTGAATCAGTGAAGCTTCAGAAACCATATACAAACCCTACTTGGAGGGGCAGGGGACTTAGTAAGTAACTTATAAGTAGAGTTATTAGTACCCTAAATGGAGTTTACCAATTATAACCCTACTTATAATAACCTACTTACTAAGTCCCCTGCCTCACCAAGTAAAGATGACACGGTATGTATGAACGCTGAGACCTGGATCAGAGGACAGCCCTTCCTTCTAAAAAGTTGCCCGAAAAGGCTAGGGTTTAGGATTTTAGGGTTTAGGGGTTTAGGGATTTAGGGTATGTAGGGTTTAGGGTTTAAGCCAGGCTCCATGTGGGAGTTTCCGAAAATAGGGGACCCTAATATAGTAGCCTAAATAGTAGGACCCTTATTATAAGGTCCCCCAAATAAGGTACCCCTAATTTTCGGAAACTCCCATGTACGTACAAAGCTCAAGCCCTACTGTAGTAAAACCCGGCAGCAGATGAGGCCAAATTATATGTTCTGTAGAAGTACATGGAACCTTCCCTGAACCCTTAGCCTTAAAACCACAGAGCCATGCACGCGCAACCATTAGCGTGTCGGGCTCAGGTCTTTGGGTTTAGGTTTTCGGTTCTGGGGTTCTGTAAAATTCCATACTAGGGTTTGCAACACGGAAGAACCCTGCAAAGAAAAGCAGCATGTGGTAGTTTAGGGTAGGGTGCTGTAGGCGACCACAGCTCAGGAGTTCAAGGTAGCACGTCGGAATCTTCTTCTCGACAAGGCTCCATGTATTTAAGATGCCCATACTTTGGCCCAATTACGCCCTGACGAAGCAAACCCGGAAACCAACCGAGGCCGAAGTATACGAGTTAAGGTTTCGGGTTTGGGGTAGGGAACCGAAGCTCAGGCGGTGGGGTCTTGTCCCAAGCTCCGAGCATTTCGCCCTGACGCTGCGCAGTTTGCGTGGCCCGGTCGGCCAATCGCGTCTTCTCCCACAAGTGGTTTTTTCCCTGCATCGGACAGTGAGTTTTCCAGCAAGGGTCTGGAGTCTAGGGCCTTGACAGAGACCTCAGTCATCGCGTCTTCAGGTCTAAAAGGGTTTAGGGTGTCGGGTTTATAAGGTTCCTGTAAGGCTTCCTACAAGGCGTCGACAAGGGATTTAGAGCTATTAGAGGGGTCATATTCTTCGTCTCGAAAAGACTTTAACATACATCGCTTCTGAAAATCCGAGACCCGTGGGAGCCCCCAAAAAGAAGCATTTTACACACTTCAAGAAACCCGAAGGGTGCACTGCCCCGAAAGTACCTATATACGAGCCCGTTTAAGGCCTAAGTCGTGACTTGACTAGGGGTCCTTGGGGTCCAAAAACATTCCTGCTGGGAGGGTTGTGTGGGCTCTTTGGAACACCCTTAACCGTAAGATCCTGAGCCCGTTGTTGGCCAGACTTCGTGGGTCTTTGCCACACAGCTTCTGGACGAGATGCGGATGTTAGAGCCCAAGAAACAAGGTCTCGGGTTTTAGGGTTTAGGGTTTAGGGCTTAGAGGGTTCGCAGGCACAATAGCATCACATGGGGTGTTCTTTTCTTTGGTTTTAGGTTTGTGGGGTTTAGGGTTTAGAGCTTTGGAGGGTTTACAGCCTCAATAGCATCACATTGGGGGTTCGTTTCTTAGGAAGTCTTTCTTTTCAGGCATTTGTTTCGAAACACTAGACTCTCTAGACCCGACAGTTTCCTGTAACATGCATACACCCTAAACCCTACCTGGGGATAGACAAATATGCTGTTTTAAGGGTTATACCAATTACATGAGGGGTCATAACCTACTATTTTGTAGGGTTTGGGGATACAGGTAAACTCTAAATCGTGTTGCGGGCCTGCAGTCAGAATTGGATTGCTTTGCGCCGTGAGCCCTGAAACGCGCGTCCTGTAAACCTTGCTTGACGCAGAACCCTCTAAACCCCAAACCCTAAAACCTACACCAGGTTTAGGGTGTACCCTATAAACCCTGAACCTTACATGAGTTTTTTTACCCACACCCTCGTTCAATGCTGAAGCAATTGCTTTGTAAGCGGCCATTGCCCAGGGAGGCACACGACCACTTGTCCGGTAGCAGTCGTGGAGTCCGTTAGGGTAGGGCCATACGTTTTCCTGGCCCCGAAGACGAAATTATTCCTAAAAGGGTTTAAGGTTCATGTACCTTAGAGGGGTTCATAGAATAAGGGTGCAGATCTCCTACTTTTGAGGGTCTTTTCGTCCTTAAGGTATACTTGGCAACATTCACAGGAGGAAAAGCGTTGCATCCCCTGAATCCGAATCCTCAACCCTGAACCCTCAATCCTTGATCCTCAACCCTTTATAGTGAACCCCAGAAAGTTGGAACTTGGATTTAGGATGATTCATGCCGGGATTCCCTATACTTTACTCTAAGGGCATGAGGCTACTGATGTTCCAACTTTCTGGCTTCTACTGTAAACCCTAAGCCTCCCACCAAGGGGATCCCACTGTTTCAACCCAAAAGCTCGAACCCCGCCAGGAATCCTACAGAGACTTGAAGCCCTAAGCCATACTACACACACAGAGACCTTATACCATGCGACACACTGAAGTCAACAAGCAAGGCTCACAGAAACCTTGAGGAAGAATTTGTCAGACCAGTGGAGCCTAATCTATAGAAATTTCAGACCCCAGTTCTTGCAAACTTACAGCCTAACCCACAAAGCTGTAGTGAAGACCAGAAAGTTGGAACGTGAATTATGGATTTTTGAGTATATATCTTTGACCGCACCCTCAAGAATGTGACAGTAGTGATGTTCCACCTTTTCTAGCCTCTAATGTAACTCCTTAGGCTCGGACTGCAGACGACCTGCTCTTTCTATCTAAACCCTAAATCCTAATCCTGAACCCTAAACCCCAAACCCTAAACCCTAAATCCTAATCCTGAACCCTAATCCCCTGAGGCTCGGACTGCAGACGACCTCCTCTTTCTATGATGGCATAGCCGGGGGCCCGGGCTGGTGGATCACGGCTCCGGGGCTTCGGGTTTAGAGACTCAGTCGCAGGTGAAGGGGTTAGGGTGCAGGGTTTAGGGATTGGGGATTAGGGTGTAGGGTTTAGGTGTTTAGGGATTAGGGTCTAAGGTTTAGGGGTTTAGGGGTTTAGGGATTGGGGTTTGGGGAGTAGGATTTTACGTCGCAGCAGGATGTTTTGTTACAAAAGCTTGAGGACATGACCCGTCGCTCGGTTAACTTGTCTTTGGTAGCATTGACCTGACAAGTGTAGGGTTTAGGGATTACCAGACAAGATTGGCGATGTTTCTGAGGTGGAGCTTGGTCTGGGATTTGTCCAGGCTCTTACCCTTACTCCCCCCCCTTCCCCACAAGTAACACCTAATAAAGCCCTTCTGGTCCTTGCCTTTATTTAAATGCAGGGTAGATGGGACAGGATAGAGTAGTTGAGGGGGTCTAGGCAGGCCAGAGTCTGTCTGGCTCTAACATAAGCTTTGTCTGTTAGGACGGCACCCACGTGCCTCGGAGTCGCTCACACTCAAGTCTGAACCTCGAACAGAAGCCGGCCTAGGGAAGTGTAGGGCGTAGTCTCCGTGCCACAAACAGAATCGTAAAGCCTGAACTTGGAGCACTGTCGAGGCTTGTGCCTTCGCATCACGTTGGAGCCACAGTTATCAGGGCCCCTGGTTCAGGGGCAGTTGTCTTGCGTTTAGGGTGCAGGGTTCGTGTAGGGTTTAGGTTTTGGGAATGTGACCACGATAATCCACCATTGAGCCCAGGAGAACTCCGTGCGTAGAGGTCGAAGCCTTGTATTGTATACATATACATATATATATATATGTATGTAAACACACACACATGTGTGTAGGACAATGCATAAATGCTTGAATGAATACACAGAATATTTACCCAACTGCCACGGTCCCTGCTTTAGCGAGGACCCCACCGTTGTAGAATCTTGGACCCTTGAAGGTAGTTGCGAGGTTGTGGGGCTTACTTGTGGTGGAAAGCTGGCATGTAGGGCTTCGATTTCACGTTGAAAGATAAACTGGGTTATCTTTATATTGGCTTTCAATTTGAGTTACCATCATAAGGAACCCACATTAATTTGCTATAGATCCCCATTGTGGTAACTCTAAACCCCCTAGCAAGAACCCAGAACCCACCTAAACCCTAAACCACACTGCACACAGACCTCTCAGCTCAGTTATACTTCTTTGCTCCGAAGCTGGTACCATGGTTTCCCAGAGGGTCCTACATACTGTTATGGGGGATACTTCCCCAAATCATAATTTTAATTCCTGATATAGAAGCCCTACATGCTACCATATGGGTACTTTGGACCATTTGGGATGGTAATACCTCCGAGAAGCTAATCCTAAACCCTACTTCTCCACAGAAAAGGTAATAAAGGTTACCGTATTGCCGAAGACCCTAGCAATCTCTGATAGCCACGATGGTTCAAAGCACGGCTGATGCAGTTGGCGCGTGCGGAACAGTGACAAGCATTTCTTCTGCCATTGCCAAAAACGGTCGGCTGAGTCAATGGCACAAAGCTCTGTGGCTACTGAACCATTGCGGAGCCATGGGCGGGGAAAAGAATGCAGCTAGGCCCCTCAACAGCACGTGCTGTTTTTTTTTTTCGGGTTCGCGCCCATAGGCAATGGAGCGAATCACCTCAACCCCATCTCAAAATCAAGGGAGTTCTTCAGACCAAAGATCTACTTAAAGGATCATGGGACTTAGTAACTGGGGTTATAACTGGGGTAACTATACTTAGTACTTATAACCCTACTTACTAAGTCCCATGAGCCTCCAAGTAGGTTCTGCTTTTCGGTGCGGCCATCAGTGCATGCGAGAAGGGAGGCCACTGGGAGCTGGCGTTGGCTTTGTCACTTAGTAGTAGAGTATAGTAGCCTTTTATTTTTTGTGGTACAGGTGGCACAGCAGGGTTTAGAATTTAGGATTACTTCTTCGGAGGTTTTATAGTTAAAATCCCTTTCTAATCCCCAAAGTTGACCTTCAGTTCGCCTTTAGTTCACTGGACAACTCAGCTAGGTAGGGCTTTGGGACAGTTTACATTTTCCCTTATTGGGCCCAAGACGATCTTATTTACGAATGTTTCTAAAAAGCTTTAAAATTCTAAAAGCCCCACATAGTAAGGTTAAGAGAGCTCCTGCAAGAACAGCTCGAAGGCAACGTCGTTACATACAGCTCGGCAATAACTGCATGCGACAAGGGGGGACAGTGGCAGCGCTCTGTGTCCTTGCTGGCAGAGCTCTTGGAGTTGGATGTGCAGCCCAACGTGATCACCTGTACTTCTGTTGTTAGCGCCTGTGGCAAGAGTGAGCACTGGAAGCAAGCGCTTTACACCTTCAAGGACATGCAGGAGCGATGGTTTCGGGTGTAGGGCTTGTTGATAAGTAGTATAGACTTTTCGACTGTATCTCACCGTGAAGTCCGATTCTAATCAGAACCTGACGGCTTGGATTTTAAGGCCACAGAGCTTTGAAACCCGAATTCCAGAACCCCCGACTGCCTCCAAAACCGCATTATAATTGCAAAAGTGGCCCTAAATGAACAAGAGAATAGGGAAGTTTGGGTGTTTATTCAATCAGGACCTTTTTTTAATGTGCTCTAGGACAGATCGCCTGTAATTCTCGGACAAGTGAGAGTGCTGTGCCAAAAAAATAGGACAGATCTGTGCAGATGAACATGATTGCCTACAACGCGGCCATCTCGGCGTGCGAGCGCGGGAGCCAGTGGCAGTCTGCCCTGCATCTTCTGCAAGAGATCCATGGCTTGACCGGGAGTTTCGTAAACCCAAAGGGTCCTATGTAGCGATATAGTAGAATGTAGGGTTTCCAGATTAGGAATTGCTATTATGACTTAGGGAAGAGATCCATGGCTTGACTGGGAGTTTCGTAAAACTACGGTTGATGATACAAATCCTGCCTTACCCATAGTAAGGAACATACCATAATGCCCAGAAATTCCCTATTCTGGGTAATGCAGGATTTATGTCATCAATCGTATGGGGACCGTTTTCGGTGTTTTTTCTTCTAGGGCTTATATGCGTGCTTCTATTTTTGTTCACGAGGGGGGTTGGTTACAATAAGGTCCTACTGTTCAATCTGGGTTCTATCTTAAGGTCTCGATTTGTCCAAGCTCCAAGCTAGCGAAGTTTGTGCAGGGTGTGTCCTGGTATTCGTGGGAATCGAATGCCCTGAGTTTCAACTTTCAAAACCGCGAAGCATTGTATCCATTGAGGTTCAGGGTGGGCTTGGAGTGTGTGGGATTACAGTGCTTGATTAGGGTCTCGGGTTGAGCTTAGGCTCAGATCGGCATCGGATTGCTGCAAACTGTTTCCTCGCATCTTGCATAGTTCGTGTTTCGCCGGAGGCCCTCGGAACGGCTTGAAACATGACATTTTTAGGGTGTACCATAACCGACTGCTTGAACCAAAATCTCCACATGAGCCTGCGGTTGAGACACGAGGAGTGGTCAGAGGAAGTTGGAAGCTGATATCATCTCAAAGAATGCTGCCCTGACTGCTTTGGAGACGCCCGGCACGGATTCAGCTCGTGGAGTTTACGTAGGAGTTTCCGAAAATGAGAGGTGCCTTAGTTTGGGGTCCTTACAATAAGGATCTTACTGTCTAGGGTTGTTGAAGGTTCCTAGCTGCATACCGCATACAATGAGGAGCGTGCGAGAATGCACACTCTGTTCGACTCTACGCCCTAAGCCCCGTAATTGCCATTCAGGACTTTGTTTGAACCGAACCGTCCGTTCCTTTGAATGCATCTGCCATCTGCAGATCGCACTTTGTTGACTTTGCCTTGATTTGGGTACTGGAACCCGCGTAAATTCCGGGCGCCAACATAAAACACACCAGTTCGGGTTGTTCGACCGTCTAGGAGAAAAAAGCCAGGCGCCGTTTAATTCAGAACTTTCGGCGATCCTGGTTTCCCAAACCCTAGCAAGACCACTTTTTCAACCCCAAGCCCTAAACCCAAACCCAAAATAAGCCAATTCCCTTGATAAGAGGCCCTGCTTAAGCCGTTTTAGTGCGCTTGCAGGAGCTTTTTATAAAGAACCCTGTAAAAGGAATCCGATAACCCTTTCTTTGGCCGCTTGCTAGACCGGAATGTCGTACCATTGTTGGAACACTCCTTTATGTTTACGATCCTATCATAAGAAACTAAGGTAAGCAACAAGGGTGTTACACTCTGGGATCTACTTTAGGTACTGCCCCCATACAGTAAGAGTCTATAATAGGGCCACTATTAAGGTCCAATTTATCTATATTATGAATATTACTGAATTATTACTGAGTTGGGGCCGTACCCAAGATCTACTTAAAGTTTGTTTTGCCAGGAAGTCGACACTCTGGCAGCGTGCTTTGAGCCTTTTCTCTGGAATTTACGACGAACGACTCCCGGCTCTTTGATCCTAACCCCAAACCCCCAAACTCTAAAACCCCTAAACCCTATAAGCCCTCAAACTTCCCTGAGCCCTAAATCTCTAAACCCTTGAACTTCGCTGAGCCCTAGACGACTAAACCCTACAAACTGAGAACTTCCAAAATCCCTTAATTAAGGAATATACCTTAAATCATACTAGGGATCCTACGATAATTTAAGGTATATTCCTTAATTATATAAGCGATTTTGGAAGATCTGGGAACTCCGAAGCCCCTCAACTCTAAGGCTTCCACGGGTTTTAAAGGAAAGGTCTTTCGGCTTCGGCCCTTTTTTGGCTAGGGCCAACAAGGGCTCCGTTAGTTAAGGACTCCTTTCAGGATTCTTGTACAAAAGCTCCTTCAATATTGCGGGTTTTCAGGCTTCGAGGTTTCAAAGTCTCCAGGGTTCACTGCGTTGCAGGCATGAGGCTTATACTTCCCTTTGGTTAGTAGAGAATGGAAGAATGGTAGCAATATTAGTTACAATTGTTCCCCATTCCTCCATTCTCTACTAACCAAAGGTAAGTATAGAGGCTTTAGGCTTTGGGGCTTGCTGTGGGGATGGGGAGCTATGAAAGCGACGGCCTGGGATAGGGCTGAGATTGCGTGACTTGGGGTTGAGGGTGTAGTGTTTAGCGCTGCGAGTTGATGGGCACAATTTAGGGTTTATAGGGTTTGGGGCTGAGAGTTCATGGTTTAGGGTGAAGTTTTTCGCTATGCAGTGGTTGAGGGTGGAGAGTTTAATTCGGCAAGGGGATCGGCTATGTGTTTTCTTTGGATTAGCAGTGTTTTTGTTTGTCCTGTTGGTGTTATCCCTGCACTTTTCTGTGTTTCTGTGTGTCGGAGAAAAATTGTCCCGCAGATGAAACCCTAGAGCCAGGAAGGCAGACAAAACCCGAATGTCGTCCCGAAGATGAAGGCCCCAAAGCGAGGAAGGCAGAGCAAACCCGAAAGTCCTCCCAGCAGGCTCAAGATGCAGGCCCAAAAAAGGGAGGACCCTCACGAGCCGAAAAAGACAGAGTTCACAAACACACGGTGAGTGGGCTACCAGTTGGTTCGGAGTTTCGAGGTTCATCCATGGGTTTGGAGGGCTAATAGTATGGATTCGGACGGGGGCGGCAGGGTTTCAGGTTTGGTTGGGCATTTTTCCTGGTTTGAGTAACTGTTGGGTTTCCTCGCTATGGGATGCGTTGGAA